GCAGCAGCCCGCCCAGCGCGCGGCCGATCTCCCGGTTGCGCAGGCTGTAGATGAGCGGGTTGGCGAGCGGCGGCACCATGATGTAGAACACGGCGGTCAGCAGGGTCTTGAGCGAGGCCTCGTTTGCGATGGGGCCCAGCACGGCCACCAGCCCGGAGACCACGAACAGGAGCAGGATGGCCAGCTGGGGGGTGCAGGTGGACAGCGCTTTGTTGCGTGCCTCAGGGGACCGGATCCTCAGCACAGTGGAGAAAATGCTAACGTAGGACAGGACCAGAAAGGCGAAGCAGGCCATGACCAGGCCGGCGCTGACCGCCAGGATCACAGACTCGGAGAGCTGGACGGCGGGGGCCGCGATCCTCACCACCTGGGGGACGTCGCAGAAGTACTGGTTGATGGCGCTGGACCTGGTGAAGGGCAGCCGGAACATGTTCCCGGTGTGCACGGCTGAGTAGACCAGCCCCGTGCCCCAGGAGCCGCCTGTGAGCACATGCGCGGCGTGAGGGTCAGCCCGTAGTGCAGGGGTGCGCAGATGGCCACGTAGCGGTCGTAGGACATGACCACCAGGAAGGCCAGCTCCATGGAGGCGAAGAACAGGTGGAAGAAGATCTGGGCGGCGCACTCCCCCAGCGAGATGGCCCGCGAGCCGGCCAGGGAGTTGGCGATCAGCTTGGGCACGCTGACCGAGATGCAGCACAGGTCGATGACCGACAGGTTCCCGATGAAGAAGTACATGGGCGCGTGCAGGCGCGGGTCGGCCACGATGGCCGCCACGGTCAGCAGGTTCCCGGCCAGGGCACCCAGGTACAGGAGGAGGAAGAGCAGGCCCTGCAGGACCTGGAGCTCCCGCGAGCTGGAGACGTCCATGAGGAGGAACTCGGTGAGCACGGTGCGGTGTCCATGCCCGGCCGCGGCGGGCCCTGGGAGCGACGGGAGCAGGAAGGAGTCGTGACCGCGCCCGCCCCCGTGGCTGGTCTGCGCTCCCCGCTGGGGCGTGGGGGTG